ATTTTGTACACCTAAGAGAATTTACGGATAAGAGGCGCACTTCTCTCCACCGCATGAGAGTCAATTTAACTCAAGGGATTGCTACTTTCTCTGCCTGCGGAAAAGCGGGAAAGTGAGAGGGATTGGAGGATGTTGTATAATGCTGAGCGACCCCACTTCCAGCATCCCATGACGCATTCACCACCTCTTCATCCTATTGACACTATTTACGTCATTGTTCTTATGTACGTCATTTTCAAAGCTCCCTCAACCGTCATGAATCTCAATTACACAATGTCTTTCTGCTGAAGATATAAAACCAGAAATACGCACTTGTACATAATTTAATGAACGGTTAGTAGACGCTCTCAGGGGAGTAGTCAAAAGGGCGACGGGTTTAGGACACGGGAATGGAGACCACCTCTCATGAACTGCAATTTTTCAATCATTCGGGAATTTTCATTTTAATTCAAGATTTTCGGCTACACTACTATGCATACTTATACAGAATTCCACGAGTGGTGTTTTAATGTTCCGGAGTTCAACTTGTTTTGTTACGAAAAAAATGCGAGCGCATTCTTTTCAGATTTTTTACTTTATTTTTCATGGTTTACTATGTGAGGCTTGTTACTTATTTATTTTTCCATGGTTCCGTGGATGAAAATGATGAAAGATGAAGGCAAATGTGATCTAATACACTTGGAACGGTTGGGTGAAAACGTTTTGAACTGCATAGGACAAAAGAGGAGATTGAAGACGAGAAGGAAGATTGCCGATGTAAAAAGCCCCTTCAAATGCTTTGAAAGCAATTTCGGCTGCGTGGAAGTTGGTATCCTATTTTATCAACGTTTGTCATCTACCGTTCGACGGATCAGTTCTATTCAATTATGAAAAGATAAGATCAGACTACAAGAAATAAATATAGAAAACAATTCCGCAAGTCATTCAGAGGAACATTTTCATAGGAGAATTCAGCATTTGAATTATCAAAATAGGAGGAGGGCCGCAGCCGGGCGGAAGGAGTTAAAAGTACAATTTCCGTTGAGACCTTTTGTAATTAGAGGGGCTAAAGGAATACGCATTTTCGATTTTAAAAAGCATCGTTAGCTTAAAGGGTAATGAACTTGCATATTGACGATTCGTGATCAGGGTTAAGCCTCTTAGGAAGGAGCCAAAAAAACATTTAGGAGGAAACTGGATCTAGAGTAATTTAAAAATCAAAAACAGTGGAATATTTTCTTCGGTCAAAAATTCAAAGGTGGAAAAAAATTCAATAGTAAATATATACTTTATTCTCTACCTGAAACTTGAAGAAAATAAAATAAGCTTATTTTTTATTAATTCGGGCTTTTGAGATTATAGTAGTGACTTTGGTTCAGGGAGAGCGAAGAAAGAGAAAGAAATTAGGGGAAAAAATTGAAATTGTTTATACAATCCTCAGGAAATATCAGGGGACTGTGGATTCTCTTGTGTTAATGGGGTTGATGCATGTCCTTTCTTTCTCAGCGAGAGTTTATTTGTGAAACTGGTTGTCTCCTTGAAAATTCAAAACTAAGAGAAAATAAGAAAATGTCACTACTGACGACAGAAAGTAATATGTAGCGCATGTTCTTCTTATTTTCTTTATCGCTACAATGAACAGTTAGCCGTGCAACCATAGACATAAAACGTCAGAGTGAAATTCATCTCTGGAAATTTCAACCGTCAAAGCGCCTTCAAAACTTGAAGATACAACTAAACATACTCCAGCAAACCACATGAGCGATGCCGGTTGGTTCATGATCGTGTGGAATTTGGGTCTTCTTGGCAAGTTTTATACATGGTGAGTTTTTTCACTCAACTAAAGGACATGAATACAGAAGGAACAATACAGAGGGAAGTATCGGCTCATCTCAATTTATCACAAAAATGTTAAAGACAGCAAAATCTTTGGCACTGACTAAATAGATGGCTATAGGGAAAGAAACAAAGAACTGGACATAACAATTTTTACTTGCTCATCATTGAACAGCGTCTTTTTTATAAACATTTTTTCCCCTAAAATACAGTTCATTCGAAAATACCTATTTAACAAAAATAGATGACACCTAGAAGCCAAGTCTTTATTTTATTGCAATGATCATTTCGTAAGTTACTTCTCTGCACAATTCAAAGCTCTTTCTGACATTGAGCGATTCGAAAGGGTTAAATTTTCTTCTGAAACTCGGCATAAGTAAAAGGCAATAATGTCAGACACACTAGCAAATTCTTCAAATGCGATTGTTAAAAATTAATTTACTTGGTGAAAATTCGATTTTCTTTTTACTTCAAAATTTCCATGATTCAAAATAACATGTCTATGAACGCTATGTTTATAATGAGCAACATATGAACAATAAGGACATTTAAACCCTGGTTCTTTCCCACACTCATTGCTCCGATGTCTGTAAAGTGATGACGAGTTCATGTACCCTTTTCCGCATTGCGTGCATACATGAGGTTTATCTTTCCGCGGAAAATCCGTGAATGAGGATAGAAGAAAACAGTCATCTTGTGTCATCAAAGCACCTAAAAATTCAAAATAATGTTAGTTTTGAAAATTATTTTTCACGATTAAGGTGAAAATAAATGTACGTGTTGACCATCTTTGGCACTTGGAGAACTTCAGGGGAAAACTAGGTACCTACTTTGGAATAATTAATATTTAGGTACCGAAATTAAATGCAAAACTAATATTAGGTACTTTCTTCTTTTTGTTAATTATTTTCCTGTCATGTAAAACTAATTTATTAAAGGCATTCTTCAAAAAATAATGTTGGCTTATGTGAGTAGCTAAACTTTATGAATACTTGTTACATTATATGAACATCCATGAAATAGAAACCTACTAATGTGAATCCCTCTAAAGCTCATCGGTTGCACTTTGATATTTTGACTTCAATTGAGAACAGTCACCTACCTAGAGAGGTGTGTCATATTTTTTTGGACTTTATACTAATGTTTATCTGCTTCAATAAAATTCTAAATTTGAATGAGTGAAAAAAGGAATGAACATTTCTATCTCTTTGAGTTTCAACTGAAAGTTTTTAAAGAATCATTCAATATAAGTAATATTGCAATATTGGTCTCAATCATGGGAAAATGTTTTACTCATGGTGAAGAGAGTCCGATTTTTACTTACAGATTCAATGAGATGATCTTAGAAAGTGTGAAAAGTTTAATGTAGGTACTTACCGTCATTTACCACCATCTCTATTCGTGAAATCTCTGTTGTGGACGTGTACTTACTCATTCTTCATTTTCAGAGAGTGAACATTGAGAGATACTTTTATAACAACACAAAAATTTTGATTGACTCAAGAAACTTAGTATTCAGAACACATTGTTACCTACTTCCATATTCGGACAAAAACTTTAATCGAAGAATAATTCAAATTAAATTGAATTTGGAGTTGCAAATTGGCTTTGACTTTGGCGGATACAAAATTTTCAGTACTGGCTCAGTGAGTTTAAAAAAGACAACTTTTGATAAGTCAGTGGCGGACAAGTTTGACCTTAGGACATTGCTCACAATTGGGAAAAGTGGCACAATTTTGTGTTAAGCTGCTGTGGTAGGTGTTAAGTAGATGACACTTTGTGTTAAACAAGGACAGTTGCTTACTTGAGTCTTCTTTTCATGCTATAGCTGAATTCAGAAGTCTTGAAAAACTTCAAAGTACCACTGCCTGTTTTCCTGCTGACACTATTTTTTCGTAGTATTTCTGACTATTTATGTGCCACCCAAGAACATCCCCTATGTTAGTAATGTCTGATGACAAAAATAAAGCCAAGAAACAACTTGGTAGGTGTTGCCAGGTAAAATGCAAATGCTTGTGCAAAGGAATACCTAATTAAATCAACAGAGGATTTTGCAACATGTATTTCTCCCTCAAAAGATGTATTGTCCTTTAATCCTTTGTTAATGATAAATTCCTTGAGATACGATTGAACTGCGCTTAGGGAGAGAGAACCCCTTCACTGAAGCCTTGAACTTGCTCACCTCCCTGCTTGTATTTCGTTTTTTTGCCCATTAATTGAGAAGATATTGGATATTTATAGTTCAGATTTTTTGGAAAATATCATTCAAATAAACTTTAGAATTCTATCTGGTGCTTTTGCTTGAAGCACGAGGACAAGAGCTGTTAAAGCACACAATGAGAAAAGATACATCTTTAATTTTGAGATTTAGATTTTCCGAGCTTAGAAAGAGGAATTTAAGAAAATTTAGGCTGAAGAATTGAATTATTTCCCTTGCTTTTAAAGTTAACTTGTGAAATTGTCTTCACTGAAGCCTCCTGTGAGTGAATGCTTTCTTTTTAATATGAAATTGAAGGCTCTTCTTTTCCGCTTCTTGTTGACTTTGAATAATGGACAAATTGTTAACCACTCTCTCTAAAGATATGAGTTACACATGGTGTGAGTGTCTGAAATACAAAGTCATCTCTGGGCTGATTATGCTTGGAGCTGATTTTAAGACAGTGCAATTCCTTGTTTTTAGTATAGTGTTCGATATTTTATGACTAAATGGAATAAAACTCAAGTGTGTTGAATGAGAGTGAAGCTAATGCCATTATAGACTGTGTATGCCTCTTAAATGATGAATTTACAGATAAAATCTGCGTTTATCAAAAATCGAAAAAATAAATAGAATTAAGTACAGTTGAAAAGCCTCTACTTCTGTGGAAGTCAGTGTGACGTGCGCATTGGTGCAGTAACACTTTTGATTTAGAAACTTGATGATAATATTTCTTAGGACCATGCATTCAGTCTTGATTAACCAAAAAAAAAAAAAAAACCTCCGGGATAGTATGAAATTCGACGGTAGAAATTTAAGTCAGAAACACTGCAAAATATGTAGATTGTAAATAGGATTTAACAAAATAATTAGGTAATTGTGCCTCACAACTATGCACAGACGATGACAAGGAGTTTTGAAAAACAAGAAAAAATTCGCTGAGAGCAAAAAAAAGTCTTGAATGGTGTAAAAATAATTAGAGAAAAGGTTTGGATGTCCGATACATTCCTTTATTCCAAAATTTATATAAATTACTTAAAAAAGTAATAAATACATCATAAAAACTGAAAAAAATATCGACCAGACGGTGACTGATGAATAAAGGAATAGAACTGAAAAGGGAGGGAAAATGAGCTTAAAAATAAAAGATAAAAATTATATAAAACTTGAAAATCATGGCATATGATGTGATGTGTGAAGAAGATTACCACTAATTGAATTACAGACATAATTTTGATTTTCAGAGACTTGAAAGCAAACAAGTAAGAAAAAATGAGGACAAATTTTTTTGAAAATAATTTAAAGGAGATGCTGAGATGCTGAAGATACAAATAGGAGATTAAATATTGATATCACCTTAAAAATAAGAAAATAATGAAAAACAAGGAATTTGGAACAGACTCAGAGAGACGTACTGAGAGTTTTGGACAGAAAATCTACTCATAAGGGTAGTTCCTGAGAGGGGATTAGGTCCCTTTGTGAAATTCGTAACCTAGAGAAATGAAATTTTTCAGACTTATACTTGGTGCGTTTTTAAAAGCATCTATGGGCTGCGAAAGGGCAGAAAAACCTGCGGTTTTCCTTTTACACCGTTGTGGGAAAGATTGTATTCTTTATGGTAGTGGGGGAAGGTAAAATTACGATAAGAGATATGAAATGTATACACTATGCATCAGAACGCTTCTAATTACTAAATATATCAAATCATTATTTGACAAAAGTTTGGATCCACTGAAAATAAAATGGTTTAATAATTTAAAATTATTTAGGGTTTCAAAAATCTGGGAGAAGTTCCATGTTTTCGCAGACCATAGAATCACCAAGGTCAAAATAAAAAGGTTGAAAAACTGAAAGAAAGGTTTCAAAACTCCGAAACTAAGAGGGGAAACTTCTTCAAAGCAGTACAAGATTTATGTCAGTTCAGTCTCTTTTGTAGTATGAGTTTGCATCACTGTTACAGACAACAATGGAAAGTTTGTTAGTTTTCTTCGTGAGTATATTTTAAATACAGAGTTTAACATTATAAAAAGAAGAAAAGCTTTGGTTTATTATTTTGGCTAATAGAGAGAAAGAGAGAGAGATAATAATTTAAATACATAGTTCATCGTAAAAAACTAAATTCTTAAAACTAAATTTTGATTATATTCATACAATAATACAATAAAAGGCAATGCATCAAAAGAAAAGGGCCTACAGATATACATACATTCATCTTACAGATTTTAGAGCTTATAACTTTACATGTAAAAAAAATATACCAATGTGGCGATGATAGAGTCAAAATAAGAAAATGAAATCATTACTTCTAGGATTAAACTGAGTACAAGATTTTACTGATGGGGGAATGACTGAAAATCTGGAAACTTGGCAGTAAATTTTTGCTTTTAGTTCATTCATGATACAGTCGCTAAAGTCCTTTGATCTTTATTGGCTAAATAACTTAATGACCTTTGAGGAAATCTTAGTAAATGACAGACATTAAAAAGTAGAAGAAAAGTAAGGAACAAAAAAAGAATCATTCATTAAAGCTATTAGATATTCAAAACTTACTTTCATATAGTATAGTTAAAGACTTGAGATGTAACACCCAGTGGGAATAGGATTGAAAGCCCATTTTTATTCCTACAATTAATTCTTCTTTTCTTTAAGTATAATGAGCATGACAGAAGTAGTAAATATATTTTACTCAGACATTGTTGATTCTGTTGTTTCAAGTTTTCCATACGATAGTATTCCTATGAAACTAAATTTCCCAGACAGATATAAAAAGTGCGTCCTGTATGAATTCTTAATTTGAAAAAAAGAAAATTTCAGCAGCAATTGAAATGTGAGTATGATTTTTTAAGCTTAATTCTTAACTTTTATGCTGGAGATGTTAATTGGAATTTAGAAAGACCAACTTTTCAAATTAAAATGAGGAAAAACAATTTGAGTGGGTAAAGCACTACCGCCTTCTTTTAAAGCTAAAACGGCTGCTTAACGCAAATTCTATCTGTTGAGAATTAGTGAATGATTCTTTAATGAGACATGATCTTTCTTGGTAGAATATACCGCAAAACTGAGAATGATTCTGCATCAATCGCTGACTTAAAAAGAAGTAACATTTTATAATAATAATTTAAATAAACTGGCACACTTTCATTCACAGACAGTTTAGAACAGTTGAATTCTGAAAAAGTTAAATTATTTTGATTTGTTCATAAAATCCTGCGTGAACTCTTCAACTTATGTGTTACATTGAAAACTGCTTCCTTCAGTTGGACACTTCTTATTAATTTGAAAATTCTTTCGACAGAAAAAGTCAATGAGAGTATTTTTGTGGTAGATTTTTGATTTGAGTTTCTTTCATAAATTAATGACTGATACGATCAAAAATCTTGGTTACTCAACTGACTGAGAGGCATCACTAGGTACTAACTAAGTAACAAAAAAAATATTTCATAACAACAACAAGTAGCGACTGAAACAATGCTCAAGAAAAATGCAGGTATTTATTTAGTTGGAAGGAAGAAAAAATATGTTTCGGCAGAAAAACAAAGTTTCATCACTTGCAGACCATTAGGCCTTGTATGCTACCTGTAAACTAGTACATATAATATAAATGCATTCTGAGGGAATTACTCAAATAAGTATGAACATGAATATAGTTTATAGTGATTGATTAATCTTGGGCAACAGTCTCAATAAACTACGGATTTCATTTTTCTCAATAACACGAAGATGAAATCTCGGTGCAAGTACCATGAGACATAAGGATGGAGGAGTGACTCTTTTTGATATAAATTAAGAACAGAATCTATCAAGGTAATCTTCCCAAATGGCTGAGAGAATGCCATTTTTTCAAAGAAAACATCAGGAGGCAGAAAAAACACACTCAGGACTTAAAAAAAAAGTATATACAAGATGAAAAAAAAAAGGAGTACAATAATTTAGTATACATTCATATCTTGCTTAACAATACTTACAAGACAATTTTAGAGTTACTTAGACTAATAATACTTTAAAAAACAAATGGATTACAGGATATGGCAATAAAATTGAGTATGTTTTTGTACAGTTTTGATAATTCATTCACTTACTTGAATATGGCTACGGAATTCAAATGAACCCCTCTTTAAAAGTCAGTTGACAAATTGTCATTCTAGCTATCAAAGAAAAAACCAAAATAGTTTTTACAGTATTTACAAGTTTGAGAGAAAAACTTTGTACAAATCAATAAATTAAAAACTTGAAAACCAGAAACTCTTACATCTACAGTTGAATACAAGCATGTTTTGATTGGATAGTTCCGTTCGCAGAGATGATTTTGATCCTTTGGTAGTAATATTTAAAGCGTAACACTAAAGCAAATATTAAAGTAGGTATCCAGTAAAATGAAGCAATAGACAAAAAGCTGTGTTTAAGTCTGCATGAGAAATAAATGCAACCTATTTAGCTAAAGTTAAGGCGACGCAATAATGATGACTCATGTTAAATATGGCAGTGATTTTTCTTACAAAAAAGGAGTCCATACTGTCCCTTATTTGAAATAAATACGAGCTTCGAGAAGCTTTTGAAGGGCGTAAAGTGGACGATTTGCATTACAGAGGAGGATACATTTTTCTGGAAATGCGCAGAGGATTAAACTAATAGAGGACTAGAAGGAGTGATGTTTCGTAGCAACTATTCTGAATTAAAGAAAAAGTAATTGAGAACTCAAGAGCGTTCACAGTTTTCTAAGGGGAAATTATACTGCAATAAAAAACGAGTAAATGATGAAATTCAATTGAGTAAGTGATTGAAGTAATAATGCATTTTAATTTCTTTTCAGACAGGAGCTTTAGGCTAGGACAGTATTTTAATGAAGTTCACAAATTGAGAATTTTAAGTGAGCATTTCCAGAAAATTTGCAGCAGTAAGACAAACTGCTTTTGAAAAGTAACATTAAAATAAATACAGAACATTAGTTTGATGAATAATTAGATAAATCACTAAAATTATTAATTAACTTCCTTGAACACAACTTCCTGAGGTACCAAAATTAAAATTTGATGCAAATGACTTAGATTTACAATTTTAACGTTTTTCAGGGAAGTACAAGCGGTATGTTCCCTATCAAAATTTGAATTGTTTACAAATTTTATAAGCTGCCCAGGATAAGTTTTTCTTCTTTGCAAGTTAAAGAAAATAAAATTCAAGGCACACAGAAGAAAGAGGACAACGTTATATCTTCTGACTGGAATAAACTCAAAAGCTTGGTTTCAAATTTTTAAAAAACCAGTAGGACATGCACTGCGCCAGAGCAAATATTTATACTTTTGTGAAAGAGCCGCTTATTAAAGGGATCTGAGCAACTTTCCTATGCATCTAGAAAGTTTAAAAAATTAAGTTGAGGCACTCTTGTGAGTCTGTCACTGAAATTTCGAAGAATTGAATCAATGAACCATAGTGTTTAATATTAATACAACAAAAGTCTGTCTCATTCAATTCTGATTTCGTAATATAAAACTGCTATTTCCTTGATTGTTCACTAAAAAGAGGGTATTTTAAGCTCAGAGAAAAAAAACATTGTTACAAATGAATGCCACCATTAGACTAAACAGAGAAAAAACAATTATGTACTTAAAATATTGAATACCTCCTCATCATGACCCACAAACATAATGGATGTAGATAAAGATCGAGTTGATGATTAAAGAGAAAACCTTAAAGGTAGACAAAATGATAAGTGTAAAAAGGATTCAAAGGCACATGGTGGTCACTGTCTATCTTTAAAGTGATAGGTATCGTGTTCAAAATAACTCTCAAGATTGGAAAAGTTAGGCACTTAATTTTAAATAAGAACAAAAACCATATGATGTTCTTCTAAACTTACAGGTAATTTTGAGCAGGCTCGAAATTAAAGAGCAAAAACAAAAACAGATTTACTGTGTATGAAATTTAAATAGCTGTATTGAAGTGAGAGGAAAAGGCGGGGAAAAAACATATCGATGACAGAAAATTAATGAGGTGCAACACGTAACTGTTCATCAATGATTGAAGTAGGATCTCAAATTCGGTTTTGTAATATTGATACTTGCAAAATCAGCTTTTTCTTTTCATAGAAATTGGAATAGAAAATTTATAAAAGTTTCTGCTTTTTAAAACCATGTGATCAAAAGGTGACAGAATACCTTCGGAGCTCTTTTATGGCATGAAGATTCAGGGCAACAGTTACAAGCTTAACATAAATCGTAGAGCTTGATTAGAATTTGAAACCAGTTGAAAATTTTTAAAAGCTTTCATCGCGATAGAAACCTCCGGACCAAAGCGAGCGCATAGGAAAAATGAATACTTATCACAATGATAATTGTGACTGGTGAGGATATTCGAAAGTTGGCACCAATAGCTCTCCCTCATCTTCCCCATTTAAATTCACTATAAACAATCGATTCTATGTGCGGCAGCTAGTCTCGATAGATATCGATTGATTACAGCCATTTCAATGGACGGAATTCTGCGTTGCCAAATTGCGAGAATCGCCACTAATTTCGCACACTTCTTACATTGTGACAGCAATAATTTTCCTTATGACACCGACGCTTCACGTTCCCTCTGGTAAAAAATAAAATAGTATAAGGGGGGAAATATTAAGGAGTAAAAATGTGATTAGATTAATCTCCATGTCCTTTAGGCGTGCGCAATCCGGTGAAATGACTTGTGCGAAAGTTGGAAGATGCGAGAGATTCTCGATGGTAGAGGGAAAGAGCGGAAAAAAGACTCTTTTCGGAGAGGCTGCTCCGTGTATGCGAGACGCTACAAGTGACCGGTAATTGGCATGTTGGCCTTAAGAGAAAAAATGAATAGCTGCACGGGAGGGAGCGAGAGGGAGGCGGAATTTGACGGCGGAAAAAGACGAAGACGAAGGAAAAAATCGAGGGAGGGGGGGGGGCGCAGATCGAGGGAGGGGACGGGAGACAATGAATAAGTAAGATAATACACGAGCAATTGGCACAAGGAGGAGGGGGAGCGGTCTCCGTGGAGGGGGGCGCGTCTGGAGTTTTCATTATTTTAATCCCGTTATAAACTGACAATATAGGTCAGCGCCCTCTCTCAGGATCTGCTCTCAACTAGTTTCACCGTTGCTACGAATACAAATACATCATATGAATGAAATTACTAACCGGTTACAAAATGCGATATTGTCACTGCGCGCCGCGCCATGCCCGCGCGCTTCGTCGCGCCCGACCCATCGCTTTCTGCCGCTTCCCTTTACCGATACTTCCGCCTTTTGCCAGAAAAGAGCATCCGCTAGGTAGTCATAACAGGAGAGTCTTGTATTTTCAACGAAAAAATTTTGCCAATTTTTGTTCAATTTTTTCCATTTTTCTTTTCTCTCGGCGACTTCATGGCAGGGTTGCAGAATCAAAATTTGACGATCAGTATTTGAAAATTGGCCGATGGAATGAAAGGAAAAAATGGTCTAAGAGACCAATTTCTTGATCGCAAATTTTAAAAAAAATTAGTCTTGAAAATGGCGCATGATGTCTATCGATACTTTTTTCTTAATCGACGGCTATGTCTCCGTCATTTGGCGCCATAAAAAGTAATGTACTTAACCGAAATTATTTTTGGCTCTACTGATAGCAATGAGCGTCAAAAAACGAGTCTGCAACATTTTATTTTGACTTGAAGTTTTGTTCTGGGCTATGAAAAGAAAGAACCAAGCGTAAGTTGAACGAGGGAGGGGATAAGGCTTACTAAGCGAAAAAAAAGGGCAATCAGTAACAGGAAAGAGTCTCGAAATCAGGAGTTAAAATTTTTTCTTCGTTAAAACAGAACTCCTGAACTTTCCGGAGTTGATACCTGGATTTCTAGAGTGAAAATAATAATAAAGAAAAATCGTTCCGAAAGTCAAAATTATAGATAAAATTGTATCCGTCAGTTAAACTACATTGAAATAATTTTGATTATCATGTTTCCTTCCTTTAAACCACTATACCTACGATACAAAAATAATCAAAAATATTTCTAACAACTGCCTCATTTGTTAACTTCAAATAAAAGGGTCCCTGGAGGCAAGCAATAAAAACACAGTAAAAAAATAAAAAGATAATCTCACGCTTAGTTATGGATAAATACATAGTAACAAATATGTATATACGCAAAAAAATACACATTAAATACAATAATACTGGACGATTCATCACTATTCTTTCTAGCTAATGTTCAACAGTATTGATTATGGCACTATAGCTCATGGTCAGCTTTGCAACCGTTTCGAACCGTTTGTCATTTCCGGGTTGAGAAATATTGATGGGAAAACATGATTTATGCAACCTTAGTTGATACCTTAAATTCAGTAATGTTTGGCGTGAAACAATGAGGACTTATAAAAAGTTTTTGGCACTGGTTTTCATCAGGCTGAGTTAAAATCAAGGGTATCATGGTTCAACATATGGTCCTATCGATTACCCATTTGCACGGCTTTACTTGAACTTTCAGGAAAAAGGTTCTTCTTGATCATATCAATTTTAAACTAAATAAATTGAGATTGCGAGATGTCATACTGATGCATAAGTTTTTTGAGAGGCTGTTAAAATCCTGTCTGAAGAGACACACTTTTTCAGTATAATGTGCTTTCTATGAACGAAAATGAAACATTTTAAACAGTATGCCGTAGGACTTCAAGAAAGAGAAATTTTTTTTTGTTACGCACTGAGATGAATCAAAAAAAGCAAAACTTTCGAGTGTCAATTCGAAGAGGAGCCTTAAAAGCATTCGCTGGCTGCCACTATAACCCATAAAATGAAGACAATTCAGCAAAATGAAAAATTCCAGATCTTCCTCTACATTTTCGTATATTTTCTTGCGGTCCTGGGTATTTTTGGGCACAACTCTTTCCCTTGTTTTACGGACCTTCAGCCTTGTAGACACCCTGTTTAGTTCAATTAAAAACCGTGCAAAAAAGGGTATCGATTTTCACAATGAACTCGGACGAGACGAGATAACACCAAACTAATGCCACGAAAATGAGAATAAACAGTTACCAGCGGATGCACAGAAATTATCGGATGAGATGGCTTGCAAAACTAGACAGTAATTTTCATGCGGATGAGGTGCCGGGGAGAGGATTTTCTTGAGTCACGGTTTAAGCACGCGTCAACTGATCTAACGTTTTTTTTGTTTTTTTAAAAAAAAATGTGAAAAACAAAACAGAACATCCACAACTTACAAATTTGATTGGCCAGAGGCTCAGAAAAAAATAAACAAAGGAGCAAAGAGTTTCAACACAAAAAGACTTTAAGGCATATTTGGCACAACTCTCTTCCTACTCAAGCGTGACTGTAAAAGCAGGTGTTTAGATGGCAATAGAGTCAATTTTGATCATTTGTGTACCTACGTTTCAACGGCATAATATCTGATTAATTAGCGTAAATGTTTGAGCTTATGGATGCACAATTTTATAGAAGGATATTTGAAAGAATTACATGAGCGAAATCTCGACATTTTCTGTCTGAAATTGGTGCCTTCAGAAACGAAATATTTTCAAGACTTGCTATCGCCTTTGCTAACAAAGCTTAAGAAATCAAGAAATCCTTTGAAAACATTTTATATGACAGCTAATATTTCCTCATGCGCTCCAATACTTGATAAGTGCGATGGTTGAAACTGCCACGCCTGAGTAGATGATTTTGATTTTAACTTAATACTACAGATAACAGAACTTTGAAAAGTCCGCAAAAACGACTTGATAATCGCCATCCCTTGAGCTTCGACGGCTTAAAAAGGTTGAGAAAATCCATAACATTGTTCCAGTCATTTTCAAACGAGCTTAACAGATATGAATAAGGAAAACAGTTAAAAGTAACGTCGACTTAATAGGTAGAGAGGAAAACAATAATAACTTGTGAAAATCGGAACAAGAGCTGAAAATTCAATAAAAAAATAAACACTAGATTCAGAGAAAAATAAATCTAGCACTAAATTATCACATTTTTTTGAAATTGATAAATTTTGAAAAATACATCTTTCCATCTTAACGGGTTGTATACGTTTGATTATTCTTAATAAACCTCTTGTAAATCTAATCTTTTGAAGCGTCATTAATTTAAAAACAACAACATCCATTACAGAAAAATAATTTTCGAATGAGAGATATGATGACAGAGTTACCCGCGGAGGTTACAAAATTTTACGCTCCCGTTTTGGACAAAGTCTGGACATGATAACAACTTGAATCCGGTTAACTTGTATACCAATATGTACAAATTTTCGACTGAATATAAATACAGATAATAAATAAATTAAATAAATAAATAAATCGAGTACGTTCGAAGGACGATATGGACACGAGAATAAACGAGGTTAGCCCGCGATGCAAAGCGCGATCGAGGTAAGAAATAGCGCCTAGGAGGTAGGCAGCTCCCTCAACAGCCCAAAATAAACTGATTAGGCTGATATTTGGTCAGCACAACTTCTCCGTTTGATTCAAGGCAAGGTCGGTGTGAGCTCATTCTAAATGCAAAATAGTTTTTCGTCATTTAAAACACGATTGTCGAAAGACAGTTAACGATGAAACAATGGAGAGGTTACCTGAGATTATTATACAAGCGTATTGATTTCTCCTCTCCTTTTCTAAAATAAAAGAAATAAAAATTGTAAACTGGCAGGAAAAAATTGTTAGCCTCAATGCGAGAGAAAGATGAGCACAGAGACGACCTTTTATGAAGACCAAGAATAATTCTTAAAACTGTAGTTCAGAGCTGAAGTGTGGTACAAGAGTAGGAAAAGCGTTCGAGTTCTGTACTCTTGAGTTCGGGTTCATTCATCAGTTTATTGAGAAATCCATGGTTTGCTCAGGAATTCGGACTTCGAGAGTGAAAGACAGGACCCAAGAGTTTCAAGATATCATGCAACACTCCAAGATCTGAATCTTCACTTCTAATATTCATCTCTATTAAGGGAGGACCTCACTATCAGACTAAGTTCTTGACAGATTACAATGAGTTAGACAAGACAAGAGGTAGTGATGAGTTTTGAGCAAGTCATTCATTACGCAATCTCAAATGTGTTGATGATTTGGACTGCATTTTGCAATAAGGAACTAGCATTTCTGGCTCATCCATAAAAGCACTTATCTGCTGAAGGAAACTGATCGCACATACGTTATAAAAAGCCAGATATAGTAGTTCCTTATTGCAAACTTTAGTCCACTTCATCTTCAGAGAATATAACTTAGCGATACGCCCGTAGGTATTTAATGAATGGAACTTCAACGACAGTAACATTTAACTATAAAACCTCGCGTAGACTAGGTGTTCTTCCCCGATTGGACCTTGATCCAAATTTGATCCAAAAAAATCATCAATAAATCAGGGGCAAACCAGGGTCTGATCCAAAAATCGTGATAAATCAGGAACGGGTCAGAATTCAAACCGATTCATAATTGAGATCGAACAGATTAGCCCATAATCAGCCTGATTACATTTTACATTTCCTGATTTCCTCTAATGTTTCGTTCTAACAAACAGCAAACTTGACAACACAGCCCCTTGAACTTTCTGTGAATTTCTCCTAGATTAAAAATAATCGATGCACAACATTACGAGTCAGGGCGTTGGGTCGCATTCTGCTGAAAAAATTAAACATTAAAGGAAATCAGACAATATCTGACGCAGTTAAGCTAATTCTAACCAAATCTGTTCAAATTGAGGTATACGGATCTATGAGTTTAAATAGTAACCGGTCATGAACTTGCGTCTGAAGTTGTGAGGTGCAAATACCGGTTGGAGTGTTTTCAGCGAGCATATTCGAGAGCACCGTTCGACGCAAGACAGTGCCGAACATGTTGGCCGAAAACGAGAGAACCGAGACAGGATTTCTCGGGAGGGCGAATCAGCTTATTTTGGGGCTGTGGGGAGAGGCGGGAGCTGGAGCAAAGGGGTGGGGGCGGGGGGGCTGCTAGTTGGTCTCGACCATCCCGAGCTTTTCCCGGTGCATGCGCTCGATGTGACGGGCGACGTGCATCTTCTGCTTGGCGCGGTAGTTGCAGTAGGGGCACTGGAACTGGGGGTCCTTGCCGCACTCCCATTTCTGGTGGTTACGGAGGGAGCTCTTGAGCTTGTAGTAGCGGCCGCACTTGGGGCACTCGACCCCCTTGGGGCTCTCCACTTCCTGGGTGTTGCCCCGCGTCGGGGAGTAGGGCACCACGCCGCACAGGAGGCTCGGCACCGTCGGATGCGCCGCTGACCACGCCTCCCACTTGGTAATCTGATAATAGTGATTTTTCATCCATGGTTTATCGTTCAAGTCTAGAGGAAACAGACAGAAACACGGGCAACCATAAAAACCACGTCCTCAAAAAAGCACAGCAAAACAAAACACTCGACACACACAGAAAACAAACGGATACAGATGGAGCTCCCACACAGGGAAACCTCAACACGAAAGTTTAGTTGGTACTAGAAGTAAAACACAAAATAATCAAATCCGTCGGTTGACTCTGGAGTTTCCCAGTCTCTCTATTGTTTTCTGTACTAAATGCACCGCAAAATTTGGGTAATGGTTTGTGTTACACTTCCTATATTAACCAAAAGCAACTAAGTATACCACAAATATTTTTCTCAATGCACCTCTGAATTAGGTTTTTATCCTCAAATATCCTCCTCGTTTTCCCGGGGGCGGATCCAGCGATTTAGCAACACTGGATTTTTTCCATTTAAACCTATGCTAAATAATCGATTCTTGTCGGAGCACCTGACCCTTCCAAGAATTGATACATTTCCATAGGTTTAAATGGAGGGAAAACAATGTTGCCACTTTGCTGGATCCGCCAATGCGTTTTCCCCTGCAAAACGGGCTTCCTCTCATGCCATTTTCAAAACCATGATCATCTATCAAATTTTTTCACCACCCTGACGCCCTTGGGGTGGATCCTTAGTTTTTCTACGATGTATTCTGGGTGCGATCGCTACATTTCAAATTTTACCCACTTGGTGGATTACGTAGGAAAATCGAAATTTCATTCCAGTGATTAATCATTGAGGGATGCTCGTGCTGAAAATCATCTTCCAAAGTATTAAAACAAAATCAACAGTACTGTTTCCAGTTTCCAATTAACCATCTGCATCGATACGTTGAAATCGATTGCAAATTGGAGGCCGTACTTTTGACTTACTTTCGGAAGATAATTTTCAGCACGATCATTCCTTACTGATTGATCCATCCGTACTCCATCTGTATCCCTTAAAACAATCACAAAAAAGAAACTGTAACAAAAATAACAAAAAAATTGAAAAACATAAAAATAAATGAAAATGAGTGAACAAAACGAAAATTAAGTTTCTCTAACACTGCAATTCGTAAAATTACGAGCAAACATCTTCGGGCATCTGCTTGAAGCGAAACGTAAAAAAAAAGCCTAGCTATACTTATAATTTAACAGCAATATAACGGGAAACAAAATGAGTTCCAACTCTGCAATGGTGCTTGAATTGCTTTAAAAAAAAACTTACTCAAAAAAAAGGTCCGAACTTTCTTTCAGATATGTTCAAATTACGAAGTTTCGGAACGAATTTTCAAAAATTCCAATTTTACGGATAATTGCTCGTCGCGAAGAATAAAAAAAAAAACCTCTTAAATATAATACATTCTGAAATATATTAATGAATGCTGTGTTTCAAATTTTGATTGAAATATTTCATTTATCTACACGAACGAAATAAAAGTCAATTTCTCTGCTAAGGTTAGATCTGTACCGCTTAGATATATCTAATGGCGAATTTTTAAGGTTCCGTACTGAAAAAGACGATGGCGGAGAAACTGTGAGACGCAAAAGCTATGGGCGTCAATTATTAGAGATTGATAAGACACACAACTACTTTTTGCAATATTTTCGACGATCATTTTCCTTGTCTGGCAAGCATGCAATTCAAGATTATTTTACGAGCTTTAACCTCACAGCCTTGGATATGGATCTGGTACCACTCATGAGAGAAGCGGAGAAAGTGAGAATTTTTCGAAACATTTCCTCGGCAGAAATGCTAAACGCGTACAATTATAATCTAAATGCCGTGGGCAAATTTTAACCAGCCTGTCTCCCGTCTTGTTAAGAGCTTGCTCATGAAATATCGTAATTAAAATTTTCTTCAGGAACATTCATGAGGATCGAAGCACAGTGTAAATTCAATTTGAGTTGAGAGAGATTCAAAAGTTGATGACAGAATTAAAAAATTCTCCGTCTCAGTTGCGTGTTGGCGCACACATAAATATATTTCGGTTTTCATCGTGAAAATGCACTTCTGAGTTCTGGGTGGAAAATTTTCTAAGGAAAAAGTTATCAGAGAGAAAGCTCAAGGAAGAAAATTACCATGAAACGAGACCAAGAAAATTAGTGACAGGCGAGCAAAAGGGAGGCCTGCACCGGAAGTATAGATCAATTTGCTTCTTGAAGTCATGATACTTTCAGAGAGATGAAAGTATATACGTAAATATGAAGAACCTTGCGAATAAAGAATAAATATATCCGTAACCACCACCTTCTGCCAAAACGTGAGCTTTTGGGTATAAAATGACCGTACCGAATGCGAGAAAATAGCGACATTTTTTTAATGATAATACTTGTTAGTAAAGACACAACCAACACCAAACGGAAAAAAAATTCTACACAGAGAAGAAAGTGAAAGTAATGTGTATGATTCGAGAGAGGAAATTTGACAACGTAGATTCGTATCATAAGATAACAGCGATTGATGAATCTCTGGTGCGCGTGCAATTAGATGCCAAGAAAAATGATCTCCTCAAACGGGAATGCTTCTGACTTCTGCTTGTTAATTATTAATTATTATTGATATTAGAGAACTCTAATACGAGAGAGCATAATTGAACGGCATATGGCTGAAGAATTCATATGATATTCCCTTTAATCGACCGAACTTCATTAGAAAACTATGCAAGATTTCTTTAATTTGATCAATTCAATCAACAAAATGTAAAGAGCAAATTAATTTTCATAGGGTTCGGCCAAATATTGGTCAAGGACAAGTTTCTTTAAGGTCTCACCATGTTAAAAATTTGGTCAGGTCTCCGAAAAGAGGTGAGCATTTCTGACGCGAAGATTAAACCGAGTTAGAAGGGTTAAAATGCTTTATCTTCCCACGAACCAGGATTTTATTTAACATAGAGCGCTTAGTTCCTCCGTTATTTAAAGAGGGAAGAAAAACAGTTTTCTACGACTCCTCGAGAAGGTTGAAAGGTGAAAAGAATCGAAAAGGTGTCACCGGAAAGGTTGATTCGTATGGTTGAACCATTAAGCGTCAGAGAGGGTAGCTTAACCGGAGGGTGTCCTCACGGCGCCAAATTTACGAAAATTTAGCATTAAACACTACTCGAGACGAGTGTAAAAATTCACGATGTTCTTTAATATTTTCATAACCATATAATCGAATTCGATGGATTTAGAACTCCACCAGATGTAAAATCCGCTCAGTTCCGACCATGTTGCTTCTCATTTTCTAGTTATCTCTTTCAAAAAAAGAAAGAAAAAGACAAAATAGAGAACGAATCAACAGCTGTAGGCTGATTCTGATTAAAATCGTCCAATTTATTCACATGAAATCTATGACGTCATACGGCAAGCGAGTTTTCCCCGATAATAACACACATCTCACAGTATGTGAACCATTTCTTTTAAATATTCTTCATTTCAAATATCGTCTGAAATCAGCAATATCGAGCGCCATAGTTATTCGTAGTCACGACACTCGATCTAAAAAGAGCTTCCAATTCACACCGCAGTGCGAATTGCTGGAAAGAAATATCTTCGGTTGAAAATTTGCAACATTAATGAAACTGGGGTCCAAATCTAAAAAACGCAGAAATTTCAGGGAAATTGGATTAGAAACTTGGCAAACTTGCGTTGCGAGAGACCGTGCAGAATGTAGATTCTTCGTGGCACACTAGCCCTGGGGGCGACCCTTCAAGAAAAATCCGCAGCATTCTTCCAGATCTACACGTCATTGCCAAACTGCGGGGACAAAACTCTTCCATGCATTATGATAAATATTTTCCAGTCGAAACACGTAACTATGGAACGATATGCTGTGCAACGAAAACTCCTGAAAAAAACTCCTATTAAAGGTATTAACAGTTTTCGACTGCCAAACTTCCCGCTCAAAAAAAAATCATGAACTACTTGATTAAAATTGGACACAAAATATTACCGTGACAATTTCTGAAGTAAAATATGGCAACCTAAAATCCTGCGCTTCGGCTCAGCTGTTGAACGTTGTTTATACTTTGAACAACGTAAGATGGGGAAGTAACACTGGGTATAGTAGTGCAGGCTTTGATTAAAGTAAACTCTGGTTTTCCATGCGAGTGGGGAATTTTAATTTTTCGTAATCAACGCTAGAAAACAAGCTGTTATTTTAGTGAGTTCATTTCAGTGATTTTCGTTGCGCAAATTGTGCTCTACGTGACATTTTGCGTATATCAGTAAGCTTAAATTCATACCATGTTTAGTGATCTATTGCACAAGCACAACCGACGACCTTCAAGGGCTCCCTGGGGCGAAAATTCCTTCCACTTGACAACAGCGCCTCGGGGCTGGTTTTTTATGGTGACACTTCCTTAGTTGCTCAGCCGCGCGCCGTTTTCCGTGGCATAATTCTGCTTTTATCGCCATCGTCGCTCGCCGCGGCAAAAACCGCGCAACCCCCACGAAAAACCGCCGGAGATACGCGATTTTATCTTAACACGAGCTTAGTTTCCAGCCCGCGGCGACGGAGGCACGGGATCTCGAGGGGTAAACGAAGAAGGGGGGGGGGGGTACCTTTTGTGATTTTCAGAGCTTCCTGCGACCCACGTCGATCGAGGCTCCTCAAAAGGTTTTCCCCTCTGCGGGCCCTATTCATTTTCATACTTAGCGACCGGGAAATAATTATCTGGTTGCGAGGGCCCTCCGTGGTCTGGGGCTCGAAACGGCGGGACCCTTAACCGCGTAAGCTCCATGCACATACGTCATTTTGAGTCGGTCGGGTATCGAGTATGAGACTCCCGCGTGAAATTCGAGATTTCGCCGAGCACAATTTTCGAGGGTCCCGGGGAGCCTGGTCGGGATGCAATGCGCTTTCATCGTTTATATTATAATCTAAAAAGACCCTTTCGTTTCTTTTCACCTACTGAAAACTAATATACTCTAAACTCAACGAATCAGAAAAACTGACTTTCCGCACTTGAAGCTTTGTAAAAAAGTTCTGCCTCTGGTAAGTCAATTTAGACAAACGCCTATAATTACTTTGAACTGAACGAT